TTTTTTATCCTTATTCTATTTAAATAACACAAAAGTTAGGATAATTATATAAATATTTATTAATAATGAGTTAAAAAGTAACTGACAAAAGAATGGTTGACTATCACAAATTGTATTCTACATTATAAATTTAATTTCTTTTTTTATTCAATGTATTGCTGGAAATAATGAAAATCATGGAAAAACTGTTTTAAACACAACGATTGTTTACACCATGCACAAGTTATAACAGCTATATCTCCACAGATATCGCACGTAGGTTTTTCATTGGAAAAGCAAACCGCCACGGAATTTTCAAACTGTTCTGGTCTCTCCTCTATACAGTGTGTTTCATAATATATGCGCAGGACTTCAGGATGTGATAGCTTGTCCAAAAATTTGAAAAATAGTTTCTATCAACTTAAACTCTAAAATGCACCATTTTCGAGATACAGGGTGTTGAAATTAAAAAAAAATCGTTTTTTGCGAATATCTCTGGAACCGTTTATCGTACAGAAAACAACTTTTGAAACATAAAACATAATAATTAGTATTTATTACTCTTGGGTTGGTTAAATTTCAATACCAACTTTTTCCCATTGCCATGGAACAGATTCTTCTGTCATAAAATATTGGGCATAAGAACTTCGTACATTCTCCGCTTCTCGTTTGTAATTATTGCTGCCCAAGTGGCTCACCGGCCGTAGTCCATTAGTATGATTTCGCCACGTTCCCTCAAAATACCTCAAAAGTATTTAAATCCTCACTGTCAACTGATTGTGGGGTAAGGTAAGTATTAGAAGTCATTCGTAGCCAATTATGTAAACTACAAGCAGCCCAGATTACTTTATCAATAGTATCTGATTTTAATTGTATTGGTCTCTGAAATACTCGAAATCGCCAGACAAGTATACCAAATGCATTTTCTACTACTCGCCGCGCTCTGGAAAGCCTATAGTTGAAAACTTTTTCTTCATTTGATAAGTTGTTTTTACTATACGGCTTCATTAAATTTGCTCTTAAGGGAAATGCATCGTCACCAATAATAACTGATTTGTCAGGGAAGCCTAACAACTTATTCTGAATGGCTATGTTTAAAGTTGAGTCTCTGAATATTGCACTATCGCTTGCACGTCCATTTCCTCCTATATCTATGTATCTGAAGCTGTAAGTTGCATCCACCATGGCGAATAAAATTATGCTGTATGTGCCCTTATAATTATAAAATGATGAACCGCTGTTTGGTGGGCATTTAATTTGAACGTGTTTACCATCAATTGGACCGCACCATCTAGGAAAATTCCAATATGCCATGAATTTTTTTTCTATTTCTTTCCATTCATCACTTGCTGAGGGCACCTGAAAATATAATAAAAACGCTGATACTTGTTTATTATTTCAAAGCATTATCTATTATTTTTAGGATATACAACCCACAGTGGACGAAAACAAAACGGATACAGAAGAAGGAGAATCAGATTTGAACACTGACAGGACAACATCGGGTGAACAATCCTATCCATCACAGAAAAGAGTTCTTCATGCACCGATCACGAAACCTCCTCCTGCCAAAAGAACCCAAGCCAAAGAAAAACGATCATGCGTACAGGGTGCCCTTGAAGAATTTATGATATTGTTTCAAAAGTGAACAAACAGGATGCATTTGATGTTTTTGGACAGTATGTTGCCATAGAGCTTCGAGAATTACCTAGTAGGGAGGCAATAATACTACAACAACAAATACAGAATTTGATTACTAATACAAAACTTTCTAATCTGCCGTCTTCATCATGTATGCCATCATGTTCACCCTCTACATATGCTCAATCTGTAGTTTGCTCCACTCCACAACCATCACCCGATCCTGATAGTGTTATTACTGAAAATTATACATCTACTACAAATACCAAGAAAAGTACTGACTACGCCAATGTCCTTCCAAATACTGTTTGGAACAAAAAGAGGAAGTATTAGAGGAAGCCATGCAGAATAGTTTCCTTGATAGTACAGACAATGCAATTTATATGTCATTGTAATTGTTTTAAAAAAGAAGAGAAAAATAAACTTATTTACTGTTCATGACTAGTTTTATTTATCTCCTATTTCTTTAGGTAATAACTTTATTAGATTAACTAACCTTTAGGTAGGGTTTGAGAACATCTGATATTGCAGTTAGAACTTCCGGTAAAAATTTCGAAATTGTACATTCCGGGGCTCGCAATAGATACTCCAAAGCTTTAAAGCTGTCTCCAGTGGCTAAATAGCGTAGCGTTATTTCAAGTTTTACTCTTGTGGGAATAGCCAATCTCATTACCGTATTAGTTTTTTGGATTGAATCTTCTACCATTTGCAGCAATTTATTAAAATTTGTAGTACTTATTCTTAGGCTATTTCTGTAAGCTGTCGAATCTTCTTCAGCTAATTCTTTTAAAAGGGTGCAAGAAGCACCTAACTTATCCCTGCGAGAAATCCATTCCCTCACCCATTTCCTTTTTCGTTTCTCGCAAATCGTGTTTTTTAATTCTTCTTGTAAAACGGCTCCAAGAACCAAGGCACATCCATGTAATACTTCTTTTGATATTTTAGGCGTCATTTTCACTATATATAACTGAACCAACCTTGACATTACAACCGTCAGTATTATAAAATCTCTTCTACTCTGTACCTACTTTGCTCGCCGATATAATTACACGATACTTTTTTACTATCTAGATAGTAAAAAAGTGAACTAGTAGCTAGTAAAGTTGACCGGTCTCCAACTTTACTCGCATACATATTTGCTAGCTAACTATCTGGATAGTTTACACGCCACCATAATTACACAGAACTACTTTACTAGCAGCTAGTAAAAAAGTGCGCTAGTGGCGTGTAAACTATCACTGATTTTGTTGCAATTTGGTACAGCGAGTATGGTTTGCGTATTTTTTTATACGTGCTAATAAAGCTCCTGGGGCGAGTTATAAGGGTTGGAAATCGGGGCGAAAGATATACCGGGTGTTTCATTTAAAATGACATGCTTATATCTCAAAAACTCGAATCGAAAAAAGTTTCAAGTAAACATTTTTTGGTGAGAAGGGGGGACACATTGTATAGGGTTAGCCAAATTCGACGCCCCACCTCTTTTGTGGAAACAGGTAAAATTTTCGAAAAAAAAATGTATACCATTTTAAATAATATCTTCTCAACTTTAAGAAACATCAGGCGTTACAAATTTTGGGCCACGACGCAAGGCGTTGCGACGTATACAAATTTATTTTTTCAACGAACACATTTTTTTCTGTTTAGAAATAGGATGCCTATATAATTCTTACCAATATTGAATAAAAAGGTCTTTTTATATCTCTAATACTTTTTAACATACAGGGTGTTTCAGGTTTTTGTAGCAGGACTTTAACAGTCGATAGATCTTTTAAAATTAATACAAAAACTTCATATAAGCATAGGTCGACAAACGCTTTGTTTTGGAGATACAGGGTGTTCAAATTAAATTTTTAAATTGATCGCTCTGTAACGTATTCTTTACGGATAAAAATAACAATAACATTTCTGACAGTATACTTCTTGGCTTTTTGAATAAAAATTCTTATACTCGGTACTTTTTTAAGCAAAAACGGCACTCTTATCAAAATGCGCTAAAGTTGATCGTTTTCAACATTTTTATTATTCGATATAGACCAATTTTTTTAGAGGATTGTTAAAGATAGGTATAATAATGATTGCCATTAAAACAAAGTAGTTTATTGCATCAAGTGTCAAATTACCAGTAGTTGTTGATCAGTGTTAAATTCAATTTTCTTGTTTATTAACATACTAAATTCATTACTCTTTTTCCTAATCATGTTAAATTGTATTTTTTTTTCATTTTTTGTTTGCTGCAGAAAACTTTATAAAATGCCGTTTATTTTCCTAACTAAGAGTTAACGGATATTCATTTCGTTTATGGGTTTGCAAACAGAAATTCAGCAGAAGTAGCCCTAGAGTATAGGAGAAGATATCGCATCCTTCTGTGTTTGTGATAGTGCATAGACAAATAGTTGAACAAGAGAACTAATGACGGGTAGATCGTAATAATGACAATGTTGGACTACAAAGAAACTTTAGAAGAAGAATTTTGCGTGAGTTCGACAGAGACCACTACGAGTGTTAGAAGAGTTTTAAAACATGATCATAGACAATCTTTGCAAGGGTTGTAAATGATAAGCATTCATTTACAAAGATTGCAACCAGGCGACGAAGAACGTCGTGTAACGTTTTGTCGGTGGATTGCTAAAGCATCAGCCAACAATCGAGATTTTTTAAATAATGTAAGGTGGAACGATGAATCGTGTTTCACAAGACATGGGATTGTTAACTTTCACAATCTACATGTTTTGTATCATGAATTTAGTGTCAACGTCTGGGTAGGTGTTTATAATAATCATCTTTTCGGGCCATACTTTTTGCCACCACAACTAACCGTTCTTGTAATTTTTGGTAGCTGAACATGCCATTACGTGGGATGACATTGATTTAGCTTTAAGAAGAAAGGCCTGGTTTCAACTTGATGAGTGTGCAACTTATCATGGAAGGGTGGTAAGTAATTGTCTAGACAACCATTTCCTGCAAGATGGATTGGTCGTAATGGACCAGTCGCATGGCCCCACGATCTGCAGATCTTAATGCTTTATGCTTTTTTGTGTGGAGATATTTGAAAGGAAAATTGTAGGAGACACCTGTTCCCACAAGGGATGAACTTTTAATAGGATTAGGAATGCTTGTAATGACATAAGCCCGTTCTTAAATACCGTTACTCGATAAGTAATTCGTCGGTCAGAATTATGCAAGTAAATTTTTTTACATTTTCAACAATTTCTTTAATTTTTTTCTTTTATTATTTAGATTAAAAAACATTAATAAACTAAAACATTAGTTAATTTACCTACTTTGTTTCCATGGCACACATTATTTTAACTATCTTTAACTATTATCTAAAAACATTGGTCTGTGTCGAATAATAAAAAGCGGATTATCTTGAAAACGATCAACTTTAGCGCATTTTGATAAGAGTACCGTTTTTACTTAAAAAAGTACCGAGTATAAGAATTTTTATTCAAAAAGCCAAGAAGTATACTGTCAGAAAAGTTATTGTTATTTTAATCCGTAAAGAATACGTTACAGAGCGATCAATTTAAAAATTTAATTTGAACACCCTGTACCTCCAAAACAAAGCGTTTGTCGAGCTATGTTTATATGAAATTTTTGTATTAATTTTAAAAGATCTATCGACTGTTAAAGTCCTGCTACAAAAACCTGAAACACTCTGTATAGCGGAATATGTAAATTAATATTGACGAGTGTTATCCTGATATCGTAGGTAGCCATGAACTAAAAATTTACTAATATAAAATAATAATATAATAGAATAGGAAGTTGGTTTTCAAAACATTTTAATAAACTGAATAAGTAACAAAATAACAACGAAATAAAAGTATAGAACAATTTCTTGAGACAATCATAAAATTTTTAAAACCTAAAACAATAAACTTTGATTTTAATAAATCAAAACAACACACATTTAATATTTTGCACCTACAAAGTGTGCTCAAGCTGACCGCCATTCGCCGCCAAACAGTGCTGAAACCGGCTTCTTACTTCATTATGAGTAACTTTTTTAAGAGTATCACGACTTATCGTATTACAAGCATCACGAATTTTTTGTTTAAGATGTTCAACGTTGTTTGTGGAAGTACTATATACAATATTCTTGATTGTACCCCATAACAAGAAGTCCATGCAGCTTAAGTCTAGTGATTTAGCTGGCCAACGCACTGGACCAGATCTTCCTATCCATCTCTCAGTGTATATACGCGGTTTATATATTGGGTAACAATTGCAGAATTGTGATAGGCAATATCCATTTGAAACCATATATTTTCCTGCATGAGAGGTATATCTTGCAAGAAATCGGGCACTTCATTTTCTAAGAAATGGAGAAAGATTGGTCCATTAAAATTATAATCGAAAAAATATGGACCCACTAAATATCGATCGATAATGTCGAACCATAAATTAATTCCAAAGTGGCCTTGATTTTCGACTTCATTAATCACATTAGGATTTTTAGTGGCCCAGTATCTTTCATTCTGCCTATTTGGAAGTCCATTACTTAAAAATAGGCTCTCATCAGTCATAAAATGTAATTATATATCCTTCTATTGTAGTCTTCCAATATGGCCATATCCGCTAAAAAATCTATGTGTTTATTATGGTTATCTTCATTTAAAAGCTGCAAGTTCTTCAATTTGTTTGCAAAATATCCGTTCTTCTTAAGTATTCGACGTATGGAGGAATAGGAAATATTTAACTGTTGAGTTGCCATATTAACAGATAATCTAGGATTATGTTCAAAAAACTGACAAACTTCAGCTACGACGTCATCATTGCATACGTTTTTTTAATAGGAACATGTTTCCTACAGGAAAACGCGACTGTATTTTTTTTTAAATTTTGTTCCAATCGGGTAAAAAACTTGTGGTCAGGAACAGCTCGGTCTGGATACTTTTCGCGATAAAGTCGGACAGCTGCCCTTGAATTACGGCGAGCTTCACCATAAATTAAAAGTATGTCAACCTTTTCCTGGTGATTTGCCATTTTTAAGAAATAAATGCAAGACTAAATTTGACACTGAGTCAAATTAACAAATGTTCATATATTTTCAATCCATGGCTACCTATGATAGAACAATTACTAGAATGATGCTTGTCAATATTATTTTACGTATCCCGCTATACAGTGGATCCCTGGATAGGTGAAACGACTCTTATAAAAGGTAAATTTTTTTCGATATTAATTGTGATTTTTTTGGGATTTAGCCCTGCTTGATTAAAGAATAATTTTGAACATATTTTCAATTTTTAAAAAACAAGTGAGCCTTGACAGCGAAAGAAAAACTGTTTTTGTGGCAGGCAAAGTACCTTTTCTGTTTGATGATTGACATCAAAGTTGATGATGCCATGTCTGGTGAACTCGCACTGTGTAATGGTGTTCCCCAAGGATCTGTGCTGGGACCTATTTTATTTTCCATCTATACTTCACAATTTAATAAATTTATTAAATTCTGTAAAATGAGTACATATGCGGATGATACCCAGCTTTACGCTTCATACGCGACACCGGGCAGTGGTATTGCTGAGGCTGATATTAGCGGTGACCTTGATACGATTTTTGAATTAGCAACATACCACCAGCTAAAAATAAATCCTGACAAATCTATGTGGATGAGTTTTAATGGCCAACAGCGCTACCCATTAAGATGAATAATACCTTAATTAAAAAGGTGTCTGAAGCTAAGTGTCTTGGTATGATTTTAGATACTAGCTTAAGATTTAGAAAACAAATTCAAACATATGTTCAGAGATCATTTTTTTTTGCGTCGGCTGTACCCGCATCGTTCATGTTTACCTTTGAAATTAAAAGTGCTCCTCTGTGATATGTTTGTTCTTTCACAATTTAATTATATGTCTGCTGTATATAATTAAATATATTATAATATATA